TGCGAAAGAACTCAAAGTCCTCCGGTGCGTGTTCATGTGTTTGCGCCAGTCTCCACAAGCTAAATCCATCGCGTACGTTCAAAGACTCTAGAAAAACCGACGCTACTTGTCCATGCTGAGGAAGAATATCAGCAGTCATTGATTGATGTTCATGTCTTCTCACAGAATTTGTAGGCTCACAGTAGTCCATCAATGGAGCAACACCACCAAAAAGCATCTTCAGACTCGCAGTTCATGCCAGAGCTGACCAATAAGGCTCATTGATGAGGGTCAGCCCAAATATATACACCGAAACAGATTCAAAAAGGACGCCCCGCCCAGCATCCGCCCAAAATCTCCTCATAGTCTCCTACTTGCAGTTCGTTCCTTTGTACACGAAAGTCCCATCCGAGTTCTCACACCCACAGCTCCCATCCTTCGGACTTTTAATGCACCCAGCCCCATCGCCCTCTTCCTCTCCCTCCACACCCGCCTTGCCCCAAAAGAACGTCCAAGTCCCCGCTTTCTTCTTCATCGCACTTCCTGGCGCGCAGTTATACGCTTCGCACGTGCCGTACGGGTACCCGTAGTTACCGTCGTACTGGTGGTCTTGGGTAAAGACGGCAAAGGTCTGGCCGGACGTGCGGGTGTTGTGGCTGCATTCTGCGGCTTGGATGGCTTTGCTTGTTTTGATAGCTAAGAGGGGGTTAGTTTATGGGAAGGCAAGATTGGGGAGGCGTGGGAGCTTACGGGAGCAGGATGGGGCTGATGGGTAGCTGCCGTTTGTGTTGGAGGTTGCGGGGTCGAGGGTTGCGGTGACAGCTGTGGCTAGCATGAAGGCTGCTGCGATGGAGTAATTGGTGAGCATCATTTCGACGTAGATGCTAGGTAACGAGCGTATGGTGTTGTGAGTATGGGGTGAGGCGGGCTTGCTTAGCCACAGCGATCGAGTATCTTATACAACACCAAACCCATTCCTCATCCCCTGCCACTCATCACGGTAATGTGTTTTTCCATTTACATGAGAAGGATTAGGTGATCCACAAACACGTACCACCAATTACGCAGTCTCAGGAGATTTGCGGTCTGGATGGTCTTGAAACGGACTAGACAGGGGTTGTGGGTGCGCAAAGCCACAACACATCTTCACATAGAGTGGAGGTGCTTCGGATGTTTCGTGCCGCCAACGGGCCGAGCCTCGTATTCTTCAATACCTACATACTGGTTCCAGTGCTGCGACATACTGCAGCGTGGAGGTATTCACGTACCCATAGGCCTCGTACGTCAAACTCGCGACGTCAGAGTCATCTTCAAACCCGGAGTCGTAGTCGTGGTGCGTCGATATAGGCGGGAACTCGGCGTTACAATCCGACGAATGTATGAAGTGATGAGTGATCAGGTGGATGAATGAAGAGATTAAGAAGGAATGGAGAAGGACCACGACATAGTCCTAGACTTCGCACAGTGCAGGCGCTAGTTGTCTACAGTACCGTACGGGTAGCCGACTGGAAAACCTAAGACGAAGAGCATGACTCCATGAATTCACCTGTGACTGATGAAAAGCATTTCGTAATCGATGTTCGACTTGAAAGCACCATTACATCGCCTTACCTATGATAGGTTGCTCCCAGCTGAACATCGCTTACCCTGCACGGCATTAGTAATACACGCCCTTCAGCATTACATGCACACCTCTTTTCTCCTACGAGAGGGCCATGATAGAGGCTGTCTCATCAGACATCAGCCCAAAGACATCCGAGGAAATCCACTTTTCCGACCTGCCTCGAGTTCAATCAGCTTACCCATACTCAAACGAGCGAGCGCCAGCAAGTATGAAAGCCCTCGTGCTCGCAGCCGAAGCTCGAACGGCGTATATTCGCGATATACCGCAGCCGGTACCATCGTCAATTGAGTTGCTTATCAGGGTAAAAGCCATAGCGCTAAACCCTATTGACCCACTATACGTTGCGCATCCACTGGGCAGCCCCGGGCGCACCGTTGGAAGCGACTTCGCTGGGGTAGTAGTCGAAGCAGGTTGCGATGTGCCCGTGGAGGCGAACCTTTGCGTCGGCGATGAGGTCGGAGGATTTTTGCAAGGAGCTTGCAGCGTCAATGACCGGCCAGGTGCATTCGCAGAACTTGTTGTCGCACCGTGGGATCTAGTCTGGAAAATATCTAAGCCAGTCGCCATGGAGCAGGCTGCTGGTGTGAGTCTCGTAGCCCTCACGGCCGCGCAAGCGATATGGTACCGGCTGGGCCTGCAAGCTCCGTTTGCTTACGATCGCGACCAAGTCTATCAAGAGCACCCGGACTGGAGAGCCACACACAACGAAGCAGATGGACCTGGTACAACCAACGTTCTCATCTACGGCGCATCGACATCGGTGGCACTATATGCCGCGCAGATGGTACGACTCAGCGCCAGATCCAGCGGCAAAGCTATCAGATTGTACGGCGTCGCTAGCGAAGCTCGATGGGAGTTTCTCAAAACGGAGCCCTACGGGTATGACGCTCTCGTGGACTATCGCGACCTCCATTGGCCAGAGCGGATCAGAGAGCTCACAGGAGATGTTGGCATTCATTATGCATTCGATTGCGTCTCTGAGGGTAGCTCCGTCGAGCGCACGTGTTCAACCCTCGCACGCAACGGAAAGATAGCCATTGTCCGATCTCGCGAAGGCGGAGCCTGGAAGGCGCCCAACATCTCGGTTGAGCCAAGCTACGGCGCAGTGTGGGAGGGTTTGGGTGAGGAGGTCCAATACCAAGGCTTTACTGTGCGACGATCGCCAGCTGCTCGTGGGTTCACGGTGGCGTTTTACGCATGGCTCAACGGTTGTATGGTTTCCGCGTTGAGTACAGCTCCTATCAGATTGATGCCGGGTGGTCTGGAAAGCGTGGTTCAGGATGGCTTCCAGCTACTTGGTGCGGGTGGTATGGAGGAAAGACGTGTCATCCGCACTGAACCGTGGATGCGACCTGTCAGCGCTGAGAAGCTTGTCTACGGTATCTAAAGATCTGTCAGTATCTATCAAAGTGTTGCGTCTTGCCCCGTAATAGATGTTCTCTCGACATTCGCATTCCTTATGATGCAGCCATCGTATAGTCGACACAGCCAGGCCGAGATGGCGTCGTGTGGTGCTGTTGGGAATCGGTACGCGTAGTCGCGTGACATGACCTGGCCAGACCATCGAAATGTGTGCGATTACGCGTGCACGAATCTCCCCGGATGCATCATGTGAGAACTGTCAATAAACCGGGTGGAATGCGATGGCTGGGCGACGTTCGCAATATTTGTGGCGTTGATGGTAATGGTGTAATTAGTTCTTACGCGAGAAGGGGAAGTCGGGGCCGCTGGTGGGGCTAGCTACCTTCTGCATCCGAGGTCGTCCCACGATTCCATCAACACATCGACACACGCGACCCCTGAAGATGAAATGAGCTCGCGTACGACATTTATAGACACACAAAGAGCAGCGCCAATAATTCTTTGACCTCATGGCTGCATCGGGCAGAGCGTTTCACGTGGAAGCGCAGTAAGGAGCACCCTTGCGATGCACCGCTTTGTTTGCGTCGCCTCGGCGGCCTACGACAGCACTACCTTTGCGTCTGATGACGGTTTGATGCAAACATGCTGATGAGGCTTGATCATGGTCGTGGTCGCACCTTCATATCTGGTCGCTCTCGTCCTATCGTCATCATTCATCGATCAAGAAATCTAGTCTGACACAATGATACCCGCACTTCGAGGAAGAGACGATGGCTCATGCCCGGAGGGAGGCGTATTCTACAAGTGCAACAACTTCCGTGGCTGCTGCACGATAGACCCATGCATGCCAGGTAGTACCTGTCCTGCCGACAAGGACCGGACCCCAGGGCGATGTAAGTACACCCAGTACGTTGGGCGTTTGTAAGAGCTGACCGTGAGTAGCCTTACATACATTATCGCCTACCCCAAATACATCGGTCTTGATGGTGACGATCACCGCGACGACTTCTTCAATAGCTTCTTCAACGGCCTCCGGGTCATCCCTTGATACTGGGTCTACATTCAGCTTCGAAGAGCCCTCGTTGGAGACTGTTACACCGAACTCATCAGCCACAGCGACACCGTCTATCAACGCACCAGTATCAGCTGGCCACGCTCAGTCGTCGATCATAGCGCCCGTGGTCGGCGCAGTGCTAGGCACAGTCATTTTGGGCGCATTGGTCGCCTCTATACTCTTATACCTAAGAAAGAGACGGCGGACGAAGGTATACAAAGCAACCACATACCCTTCTCCTTTGGTCGGTGACGATATGACATCGCAGTTATCAAGTAAGCCCACGCGTCACGCTTCGATCTTCGGTACACAGTGCTGACTGCATCCAGGGAAAGCTTCCACCCAATTCCAGCAGAAAATAGCGGCACTCTACAGAGCAGACTCGATCACGGAACCAGAAGATCCACCCCAGCTAGACAGTCGAGAGATAGGGCAGCATGAAATCCATCGCAACGGCTCGCCGGCACATCTAACTGAGCTTCCCGCTGAGCCCATACCATGGCCAGGCCGTACTTCCCACGGCTAGTCCCTTCTTCAATCATGATCATATTACAACAGAAGTCGCTGGGTATATATTAAACCAGCGAGATGTGATGAACATTGTAACTGTACGAGACGCAGGTCGTCGGATTTAGACGTAAGAATGTTATGAGTCAATTTGGTCATGCTGATCACAGCATCGGACGAGAAGGAGATGTACCATAACACCTAGATACCCCGTAGCTCAGGTAGCTTAGAAACTTCGAGATTGCGCCAGCGCAGCACATGGAGTTATTGGTGTGATGTTTGCCAATTTTCGTTCTAGCCTGCGACCGCCGCAGCTGACCAATCATCGACGACTAGCCCCGCTGACGTCACAGTCGGGCAGCTACGATCTCACACCTTTCCGTCACTCGCGCATGCCTAAATCTGCGCCAACTTTACCCGTTCGCTTTCCAACGAGAGATTTGAATCAACTCGCCTCAATATACTCCTATCATCATGTCCGAAGACGGCGCGCCGCCTGCAGATTCGGCAACACAAGCAGCACCGACTCCCTCTATACCCCGCTATTTCCGGAATGATGCGCCGTTGGCACGACGAGATCCTCACAAGCAACTGCTAGCGTCATTGGATCGATTGATTACCGACTATCCTCCGCATCATGTACCCCCAGGCGGTGGTCTATACTACGGACCGATTTCAGTAGCCTACCTCTTCTATGCCCTGCACAACATATACCCGGATCTTAAGCTGGACGACTACCCCTTGAATACATGGTCTGCGGCTTACATCGAACAAGCTCAGGCTCATATCAAGGAGTTCCCGCCACCATCTCCCAAGAAATGCGGTATCTCCAACGACATCATGTCTCTGCTTGCCCTGTACGCCGTGACTGCACAAGACCCCGACACTGTAAAGGAGCTATGCGATCATGCTGCAGTCATGCTTGAGGACGAGACCTCCAACGAATGGCTATACGGTCGCGCTGGCTATCTGTACCTCCTCCGCTTGGTGCGCGGGGCGTTCGCTCATAACAAGGACGTGACCGAGCTCATCGAAGACACGGCCGATGAGGTCATCGAGAACATCATGCAAAGCCCGCGTCCCTGGAAGTGGCATGGGAAGGCATACGTGGGCGCCGTTCATGGCGCAATCGGTATCATTACACAGATCGTGCTCACCGACCCTTCCTGGGCGTCTAAGCTGGAGGCTGAACTAGGCGCCTTGCTCAGCTATCAATACGAGAGCGGCAATTTTCCTTCATCTCTCCCACCAGGTCGTGACAAGCTCGTTGAAGTCTGTCACGGAGCACCGGGTGTGGTCAACTCCATTCTCTCAATCCGAAAATATTTCCCGGGACTTCAAGATCGCATTGATCGGGTTGTCGCAAAAGCTAGAGAATGCATCTGGGAAAGAGGCCTGCTCACCAAGGAGCCATGTCTCTGTCACGGTATCACTGGAAACGCTCTCGCTCTGGACGGAAAGCAATTCGAACACTTCTTGACTTACACCACAGGCCATGAGATCAAGTCGATGGCCAAAGACGGAATGCTTGAGAAATCGGAAGACCCATCTTCCCTATGGTGTGGCGAGGCAGGTCGTGCCTGGGCCTGGGCGGTTGCGGATAAAGATCTGCCAAAGACACTTCTCGGATATAACGACATCTAAACCCTGGAATGGGTACTTCCAGTATTCCGACTGGCACTTTGACGATACACACGATGTAATGAACGAGATGACCGCCAGGCGGTTTGCGCATGTGGTCCTATGCGGAATACTTGTATAAGGATGCACAACGCAGTCAGCTACGGCTAGCGGCACGAATGACCTGTATTAGCGTCTTGATTAGGAACCATTCAAATCAGCAATCAACTATTTCCGGAGTCTTGCAACGTTCCACTATCATGTATGCGAATGAGTTTACCTTATTCCCCGCCGTCGGTCGCCGTAAGCATCCGCTAGGCGCGTCGGTGCTTTGTCGAGCCTCAAACGGCACGAAAGATTAACGGAAAAGCTAGGATTGTGGAGACTCTAATCGCGACATCTCCTTCGGTGGATTCATGTCGGGCAATCTCCGTCAGCCAGACATGTAGCCGCGCGGGGTACACAGCATCTTGCGCATTGCTCCACGCGTCGTGCAACATTGAATGCAGAGATCCGCGGGTGTCACCGAACGCCGACAAATGTCCCTACCATCTTTTGTCTGTATATTGAGTTGTGGATTAGGCTGAAAAGCTTATGCGTCGTGCGAACCATATTTGGCGTTGACAGCCAGTATGCGTTCCGAAACCGCGGTCGAAACTATGTAAGATTGCTTGCGGTAATGTATCCGGCTGATGTTTCACACAACGGCTATTCGCGAAAACCTTGGAGCGATTATGTTCTGTGCTCCTACGACTTGATCGCTACCGCACCGGTGCGGGAGAGACGAGGTCGTGATCAGAAAAGCACATTTCTGGCACGTCAACAAACCCCTTGACGATGCTTCTTTCGTCGATGCACCTTCGACTCAAACATCACACGCAGTCTTTCTATCTCAATCGCTAGCTTTCGCCCTGTAATTTAAGTCACCAACTGTCATCGTCGCATCCCTCTTTTCCGCTTCTAGAAGAACGCCAGCGGGAGGGTAAACTTACAACGCACCCGCCACGCCTGCTCTCATACTGCGTTGCTGCATTAGCGGTATATCCTCCCATAACAGCGGGCAACTCACACTTTTCGTGCTATATTCCTCGTGTTCATCGCGTCACAAGGTGAGTGCGTCACATTTCACCTAGCAAATTCCTTGGTTCAGGGCACGTTTTCGCTACCACATCTCTTGTCATCACAACAACAACACAGGTCTGGGAGACCAACAACTCTGGTCCGCAATACGCTTTGCTGTCGTATCGCGTCCCTATGCAACATCCAGTTGCCTTCATTTTGGGCTCCTAAACCTAGTATTTCGACTGTGGATGACAGGCGCGATCGTCACTCACTCTCACCGCATATGACCTCAATGTGGCTAGTCTGTTTTACACGCAGGGGCTGCAGGCTCTGATATACAAATATATATCTCTTTGCTCCCCTCTGACCGGCTCTCCGCAGATATACCCTTCATTTGCTGCGACAGTCGCTCACCATGCTCGTCCCGTGGCTCGCTCGATACTTAATACCGTGGCTTTTGATATCATACGTCACGTGTACGCCTGTATCGGAAAGGAAGAGCTCCCATACCGTCCGTCAGTCTGCAGTGGGCGTAGTGACCGGAGTGAAGTCACGAGATGAAAACGGTTAGTACTCAGCTAGGCCGCACGTGTATCGATCACCGCTAACTTTTCGCAGGCAACGTCTATGTGCGCCGAGAGGTGAGGGACTTGAAGAACAACGCGCCAGACCAATGGAGTCTTTACATCTTGGCGCTTCGACAACTTCATACAACTCCGCAGAGTAACCCCAACTCATTCTACGGCATCGCATGTGAGCACATCCACTATCAGCATGGTTCATCGCTTACTAACATACTGCTCAGCGATACATGGAAGGCCTTACGACATTTGGGGTGATGCACCAGGAAGAAAAGAGAAGATTGGAAAGGCTGGCTACTGCCCACATGGCAATGAGTTGTTCCTGGGTTGGCATCGCCCGTACCTTGCGCTATTCGAGGTGAGCTTCATACCTTCATACCTTCGTGCCTTCGCCTTTCCCTGAAGGAATAACGACGATGGTACTGACTGATCGTAGCAAGCACTTTCGAGCCATGTCTATGATATCGCTAAGAAAGCACCCGCCGATCAGATCGAACGGTACCTCAAGGCAGCAAATGAGTTCCGCATACCTTATTGGGACTGGGCACAAGGTAACACTATTGGCCCGGTGCCCGACTTCTTTACAGCCCCCGAAATAGCGGTGACGGATACGGACGGCAGTCTAACAGTGGTGTCAAATCCGTTGTATTCCTACAAGTTCAACCCCATACCTGCTGGCTTTGATCACAAGGTAAGCGATCTCAATCTTGGGAGATCGCGGAACAGGATTTCTAATGTATCATGCAGTGGGCCTCTATGAGTTCGACGATACGATGGCCGAGTGACGCGACCGCCAATGCGACATCGCGACAATCGATGTTTGTCGGTGCCTTCAATGGCCAGTCCACCAATCTGATATCTCAGGTTGGTGTTGCTTTTCGAGCGAGCACGTTCTCGCGATTCTCTAGTATACTAGAAGACCCGCATGGTTGGATACATGGCGTTATCGGCGGTGGCTACGATCCCACGTCTTCACCTGGTCATATGTGGCCGCTGGAGTATTCGTCATACGAACCCCTCTTCATGTTACATCATGCGTAAGTGCGCCTAATCCCTATAATCACATAAGCTAACAGATCGTCAGCAACGTCGACCGCCTACTCGCACTATACCAGGGAGCGCACCCCGATCTCTGGATGGAGAAGTCAAGCATAGGACCGCACGGCAATGTTTATCTTGACGACTACCAAGACGTTGACGCAAACACTGAACTCCTCCCATTCAGAAAGGACCCCGGCAAATTCATGACCTTCAACGACTGTCGCAATACCACTGTCCTAGGTTATGCCTATCCGGAAACGAAGCGCTGGAAGTTCGCATCAGACCAAGCCTACCAGGCAGATGTCGCAGCGCAGATTGCGAGGATGTATGGTGGCCGCGCGCGCGCACAGAGCAAAGTTACAGTTATGAGTACCAAACCAACGCCATTCGGAGAAACACTCGAGGACAGCAATGGCACATACACCGACTGGATCATCGAGACACAAGCCGTTGCTTCCAAACTTCCACCTTCGTTCATCGTCAAGTACTCGCTCGGCGGCATGTTCAACTCCGACCCAGTTGTCGACGTGGGAAGCTGGATGATGTTGATGCCGGAGCGACTCGACGACGTGCACACCGAGAAAGATCCCTCAAAACCGGAGAAGTTGATGAACGGTACAACAAGTATCACACCTTATCTCGTCGAGCAGATCGAAAACAAGAGCTTGAAGAGCCTGGAGCCCAGCGACGTGGTGCCTTTCTTGACCGAGAAGTTGACCTGGAATGTCTATGATGTGAGTCCACCCCACGTCATACCTGATATCAAAACTAACTTGTACTTCTAGCAAAATGGCGAACGTGTCAAGTTTCCAGACCAAAAGACTCTTTCAGTCAAGGTGTTCAGCACCAGCGCGCGCGTGCCAGACAATGACCAAGAGCCGATCGAATACGACGAGGGAAGCACGACCTATCCCGAGATCACGGCAGGCAAGTCTGGTGGTAACAAGATGGGTCCCCCGGGGATGATGCCTCCACGATTCTAGTGCCTTTGCGCCTTCAGCAAGTTCGTTTTCAGAGTCGATAGCTTTCCTTGTGTCCTCTCCCGTAGGAGGTAATGTGTGGTAGCAAGACATATGGGGACCAACATTGAGCCTTCTTTGATAAACCGAAAGTAAGATCGACCTACTTCCAAAATCGTGCTCCATGAAGTTGCAAAAGTGTCTTTGCCGGTTACATATAACAAGCTGAAGGCCTCTTCGGTGATGCGTCACCCCGGACATACGCCGATCTTAACCCCATCCGCTAGCCTCATACCCCACACATGCAATCTGATTCGCTGAACTGAGCTTCCAGACCTCAGCACGGCGCTTTTCCGAAGAGCTTGTCACTCCTTGTACATACTTAACCACCTCAAGCATTACTCAAGCATCATTAGCCGTGTCCCCAGCTGATGCAAAGATTCTGCGCAGATGGCCTGCCCACTCCTCCGTGGTCCTCGAACCCTTCAATCGGCCCGCCTAGCCACGCTCCACCCGCGGATACATATCCGCAGTCTATCAACCATCGTCACAACATCGTATCCATTTAACCAACGGCACACACTCACAAACCATCAAATCGAAAAAGGAAGCCAACCCAGACTTGACAACCACCAGCAACACCAATACCAGCCCTTCAGCACAACGACCGCGAAAATGTCCACAGAACCCCCACCAAAAAAAGACTGGTCCGCAACCCAATACCTCAAATTCAACAACGAACGCCTCCGCGCCGTCTACGACCTCGTGTCTCAAATCCAACCCAACATCACCAGCTCAACACCGCGTATCTACGACCTCGGCTGCGGACCCGGAAATAGTACAAAAGTCCTGCTCGATGCGTTTCCCTCTGCGCGCATCACGGGTATGGATAGTAGCCCAGACATGTTGGAAAAGGCAAACGCGGAGTTCGAAGGGAAAGACAGTGTGGATTTCATGCGAGGGGATCTGGCGACGTTCAAAGCAGATGGAGATGTGGATGTATTGTTCAGCAACGCGGTATTCCACTGGCTCCGGTCTTCCGAACGTATTCCCACCCTCGCGCGCCTCTTTTCTTCACTGAAAAGCGGGAGTGTGTTAGCCATCCAGGTACCGGATAACTACCACGAGCCGTCGCACCGGATGATGCGCGAGACGGCGTTGCAATCAGGGAAAGCGTGGTCAGACTCCTTCGTGGATACGCAGATTGGAGATTTGAAGGATACGAAAAGGCCGGATTTGGATCCTATAGAAGAGCCGAGTGCGTTTTATAATGCGTTGGTTGGGCAGGCGAGTTTGGTTAATGTGTGGAGGACAAAGTATATGCATGTGCTCAAGGATGCGGGCGCGATTGTGGAGTGGGTCAAGGGGACGGGGTTGCAGCCTTATCTGAATAGGATTGAGGGGGAGGAGGCGAAGAAGGCGTTTTTGGAGGAGTATGAGAGGGGATTGAAGGGCGAGTATCCGGAGTTGGTGGATGGGAAGGTGCTTTTGGGATACCCGAGGTTGTTCGTTGTTGCGGTCAAGAAATAGAACTTTGTGAAGTGAGAGTTGCATTAGCGGAATTTAGATCCGATGTCGACTAACTACTATGCTATGCTGTATTTATATACATGCTCTCTGGAGAGTGCCATGCATATGCGTTCATATAGCTAGCTATCTATACAGGTAGCATACGACCTATCTGTGAGCAACGTGTAGACTGAAACTCTCCGCCTGATATGTGTTGCGCTCGAAATGTAGAAAGCGGCTTTCAGGTTGTAGTGGAGTTGGGATGGTAACGCTTCGTGCATCGCCAACAAACCCGCACATCACACCCTCTAAAGTTACAGCCATGGACCCAGCGGTCCTGGTTCTTACAGTAATCGCATTTGGTATCAACGCCCTTGTTCCAATATAATCGCCTAAACTCGTGGTCATCGGCCCGAGGATGGTGTTGCTGCGGATGCTGACCGAAGGGTTGAAACTGTACTGGGACATGCAGTTGAGGCTGAAAGACGGGAGCGTTTGGTACTGGGGCATACACAGCTGGTGCAAAGCCAAACGGTGGGATAGGAGGTACGGCGTGAGCGGGGTTTGCAAGGTAGATGGGAGCATTGTGAGCCGCCACTGATGCACCGAAGAACGCTGGTACGGGCGGTGCCATGTTTGCGGGATTGACGACGTTTGGAGCGGCAAAGTTCGCGGGTACTGGTGTATCAGCAATGCGGCGCACATTCTTTCCGCAATTACATGTACGCCATGGCGCCTGGCACCGGTAGCAGAAGTGGTGTTGGCAGCGGCATCTAAAAAGTCAGTTGACCGCATCAGATGCGCCACGGACGTGGGTACGTACGTGATGTGAAGACATCCACCCTTTAGCTCTACCATCTCGTTGCAATTGGGGCAAGTCTGCCATTGCTTCTCTTTAGCCACATCCAGAAGCTTCTTCACATCCATATCGTCTTCACAAAGACCTTCATGTTGCCCACATTTGCAGGTCTCGCAAGTTTTGTGGATGCATGTTGTGCATGTCGCGATATTTGCTACGATGTTGACAGGTCTGATCCATTTTGAGCAGAGAGCGTTACTGCAGTACGTTCGGTTTGGCGTCTCCAGTTCTTCTCTTTTGGCCACAAATCGTGCGAAGAGCGCAGGCGGCAAATACGGGATGCAGGCAAAGACCGGTAATATCTGATTACAGCATCGCGGTGGGAATTGCGAAGAATCTGTAATGCAGGTTTCGAAGAGGTGGATGAGACATTCGCGGCAGTATGCATGAGCCTCGGCGTCACCAGTGTTCTTGCATTGAAGCTGGATTGTGTCTCGGATGGGGTGCATGTCCAAGCATGCAGAGCATTTGCGAGACATGATAGTGCCAGATCCCGCTGCAGGGAGACCATGATCTTCATTGCTGATTGTGCTGGACGAGGCGGCATTGGCGGTAGCATTAATAAGGGTAGTGCTGGCCTCTGATACAAGCTTGGTTCGCTTGGTTCGCTTGGTTCGCTTGGTTCGCTTGGTTCGCCCGTCATCTGCCTCCCTAAGTTCTGCCGGCTCAACGCAGGCGGTCCGTTTCTTGAGTGTAGATTCATGCGTGTATGGTGTGAGTGAGTTCTTGTCTTCATCATCCGCATCTTCAACGCGCGAACGCTTGAAACTGTTTAGTGACAAGGCTGGCCACCAGCTGTTTCCGGCAGGAGGCTTGGTCTTGGTAGGTGCCGTTTGCGTCCCAACGGAGCTGAAGCGGGGAGCTTCTTGAGCGAGCGTCCTGCCGTTCACGCCTTCGGACTGCTTATCTGCTGCGATTCCGTGGGCTCCGTGATCATTTGATACCGCAGGGCGTTGAGGCACTGGCAGACCTGCAAATCTGCAAGCCATCTCGTAGTTGCCTTCATAGTGTTAGTATTGATTCATGTACCATGATCAAAACGCTTGTACTCACGATCAGCCTGCTGCGCTTCACCCGCGTGTTGCGTAAAAGCCTCTCGAACGGCGTCGTCCTCCCGAACGATGATGAGCGTAAAGACTGCATCGTGTAACTTGTTCCAGCCCCTCATCAGCTCATCGCGAAACGCGGCGAAAGCAGCCCCTTCGCGGTCATCAGGGCTGGTCCTGGACAGGCTCTGAAGGGCGGCGTTCAGGTCCTCGCGATGGAGCCCAAGTATGACCTTGGTAGTGGCGGGATCCATCGTGCGCGCGACGCGTGATACAAGTACAAGCACCGGTTGATGCGGGCGAAGAGAGCTACCGTCTGAAGCCTCCCATAAGGCAGGTAGTGCTGCGAAGCGATGACCTTGGGCAGCACGCAGCGAATGCGGCGCCTGCGTGAGAAAATTGAGGGAAGGAAGAAAACACGCAGTAAAGTGAGGTTCCACTGCGGAGGACGTGAGGGAAGCTTCATGAAGGTGAGTGCTAGCGAGCGGCAAGTGCCAAGCACGGTGAAGATGAGGAGGAAAGCGCGTCCCTCGCACCGTAAACAACAAGACGAAAGATGACGTAGAGAGTGGGAGAATGATCAGATACCTACACCGGCTTCTAAAGCCATCTACCAACAGTAGGCAACGTAAGTCTTCGAAGACTTCATCGCGCGACTTCATACATTATCTCCACCTTCGGCTCGACTTCTACCGCAGCAGCCTATGCAGCTTCCACGCAGCTCGGCCATGCAAGTCCACCCATCCCAATCCGTAGTACTCTTCACACTCTCAAACACCACCTCTACAAGCACTCCGCACTCGCACGCGCATAATCGCGCCACCAGTAAACAATGCCAAGATCGTATATGGCACAATGTGATTACCCAGAAAACGCCCATACCAATGCTGCAGCAAAAATGTTGTTCCTTCCAGTACGCATCGCGCAAGCGCAGGATGCCTACAATGTAATCAAACAAGTTCGTCAAACTTATGCCAAGCCGATGCGTGAGAAGATGGACTGGCCAGTCTAGATGTCATAACGTAGACTCTGGCCAGGGGTATAGAATAGAATTCGCCGCTCATTGAATGCTTTTCGCTCAAGCCATGCATAGATGGTTGCATGCAATCAACGCCTTGTACTCCGGGAGGGTTCCAAAAAAGAGTGGTCGTGTCTCATCCAGCGCCCGCGGTGCCAATCTGTGTATGTTTTTGGAAGCCGGGCGAGCGGTAGCTGTGCCGATGAGGCGATGCAGTGCGGTGGCCGTCGGAAGAAGCTTGGGGATTCTGGGCGAATGTAGGGTTGGGTGTATTTCGGTCGTACCCTGGTGTGGGGCTGTGCTGATTGCTGCCCATAGGTTGAGCACCCCCGCCGGGGATCTGGCGAACGGAGGCTTCGCCAGCTTGAGCCGAGGGGTTATTGTCCGCCGTCGTAACTTGAGGCGAATTGCGCTGGTCTTTCCTGGAAGCTGTGCCGGTTTGGTCTCTGGGTGATGGCGTAGGAGCTGACAGAGGGTTCTTCCCCCTCTGCTCCCATTGGCGCATGATTTCCTTCGCGCTCATGTCGGACACTTCATCGCTGAGTAGTTCCATGATCTCGGGTGGTACCTGTTGACGTTAGTATGAAAGTGGATTGGTAGTATGGCGGAGCAACATACCTCCGAGAACTCATCGTTGTTTTCGATGAGATCAAACACGACCTTGACCGCGCCTTGATCCACGCTCTTGACTTCTTTGTCGTTGCTCTCTCGCAGAATGTTGGGAGCCATTACGGTGGCGATGTTCCAGGTGTCCATTTTGTTGCCTGTCTCTTCGTCCACAGTGTGGAACGATGAAACCCAGTTCAGGAAGCAGAACAGGACTTCCATTGTGTCGCGGTGGGCCTTGGGCAGTAGGCAAAGCACGAGATGCAAGACCTTCTTTCTTTGTGCCTCATCCTCAATGTCTGCTAATGTTAGTCAAGCACGACCGGTAAGATGAAGCGACTTACCATTAGCCACCATGAACAGCCTGTATAGCTTCAATGTCAATACCGGCTCAGGCATCAACCTGAGGAAGCGCTTCAGGAGGTTGGCGAGTATGACTGGGTTCTTGGTATTCAGGTCGACCTTCTGAACACCGTGAGCGTCAATCTCTTCCTCAAGTTCGCGCAGAGCTTTGAGGTTGCCGTTCTTCCTGAACACGCCCTCGATAGACATGTCCATACTTCTCATCGCAGTGATACAATCCTGAAGCAGAGCTGGAACTTTGAGAGCGCCCGGTCCTACACCTTCCGTGCACTCATCACCATACTTTTCCACGAGGTACTCAAGCGACTGTCGGAAAGTTGCTTTGTCGGAAACTGGCTTCTCGACTCCTGTAACGCCCTTCTTCGGCTTGCTTTTGTCGGCCTTGAACGCTTTGCCGAACCCGATCTTGCCCCAGAAGTTGTTTTTCTTCGACTCGATGAGATCGAGCAGATCGCCCTGGTTGTACTGATTGTCGTCGAGCAAGAGGCCAAGCTGGAGTACTGCAAGGCCTTTCAGCTTGAAGTATTCAAGTGGCGAAAGCTCCGAGAAGTAGGTTCGTGAGCGACCTTCGGTCATCTGTTGTAGATCCTGGGCGCCAGAGAAGTCGCGACGATGGCCATTCTGCAGCTTCGGTTGATCTTCTCGTCCCAGTAGTGCGCTTCCACCAGCGCGGAATGCATTTGGACGTTGCTCTCGTTGCTGCTCCAACGCAGCCATGCGAGCAATGTCGTCTAAAGCGAGAGAGTTCACAGCGAGTGTTACAGCGTCGGCGTCACCCCCTAGCTCGCGTTCCTGAACGATTTGCATTCCTCCTCGCATTTGTCCTTCTCCTTCGAGGCCCTCTGGACCGTCAATGATTCGTGATGCGCGCGCACGTTTCATCGTGTTGGATAGGTGCTTGTCAAGTCGTGTCGATCGTAGGCGCTTGATGTCAGACATGGACTGCTCGTAGGCGGCGTTGTTGCTGTTTTGACTGTCTGTTGCTGATGTCCCTCCATACGACTTTGATCGTGTGTCCGGTCGCAGATGCGGCGGGTCATCCCCAAGGCGATGTCCCTGTGTGGAATCATAGCCTGCCAGGTTGGGATCATCTACAAGTCATTAGTGGGACGAATGTAATCTCGGAAGCGGCTCCAGAAATCTGAGTCGGAGTGTCAAGATGAGTGGTGACGAGGTGATCTGTTACGGAGAGTTATTCTTACCTGAAGTGTGTGGCAATGCGCCACTGGATCGTAGGGTCGCCATAAGACGTGCATGCGCCACGTTTAGTAGGTGCACATATTGGCGCAGCTTGGTGACCTGCTCGAAACCGTTCTCAGCGTCTGGCTGCGCTGCTGCACATGCCGGACAGAAGATGCTTCGCTTCGATTTACTCCAATAAGCGCTCTGAGGGCTATGGCGCAAGTCGGCATTGCACCCCCGACAAACCATGCAGCTGTAGTTGTACGACATGTTGTTCAGGTGTAAACACTTGTCTTCGACCTGGGCATCGCATATTGGACATGCGTCAGCCCATCTTGGGACAAGCCGCGCGGACTCAGCCGCCTGGTCTCTTTGGGCCTCGTCCTCCAACCGCGCATCGAGTGAGTTTACTTGGGTAAGGAAGTTGGTCAAACCGGTGGAGCTCCGGGTCTCGCGCTCTAATTTTAGAGAACCCTGCAGACATATGCGAATGAGAAGCTTCAGGTAATGGGCTAAGCCAGTAACCAGGGACAGCAATTCTTGGGTCACGCCCAGTCGTCGCACGCCAGTACCCTGGGACTGGGTAAGAAGCGCGAAGAAGGCTACCACTTTCTTACAAAGTAGCTTGGATTCGCGCGAATAGGTCAATCCCTTGGGTGTCCTGACGATCAATTGCGCATCGAGCGCGTCGGCGGCCGCGAAAAGCAGTTCGACGTGCACAATGAACTTCTTGGCTGCCATGACACCGTCGACGTAAGCACCGTTACTGACGTGCAGGAGCATGTCGGAGATGCAGGTCGCGGACTTTTCCTCGAAAGCTGATAGGGTCTTCCAGATCCAGTTGACTTTGGCTTCGATCTCTTCCTCCTGTTGGCGGACGCTCTCGCGCACCTCATCTGTCGCGTCGCCATCGGCATCCTGCAATCGCTCAATGACAGGTTGGCCTGTGGAATGAAGCCTGACATTCCAGTACTTGTGGATCATGTAGCATTCCGGATGCCAATGCTGGTTCTGTCCGTTTCGGAAGATCTCGACGAACTGCTTCAGAATCGATGTCTGACAGCCGTTACACCGCTGGGCAAATTTGGTGGAGTAGTGGTAGTGACAGTAGACGCTGCCCTCGTGTTCGTAGTAACTGTCCGAGGCGCCGAAAACGGTAGGACACACGGAACAGGTAAAGTGCTCAATGTGGTATTTCCGGTCTAGCGCTGTGATGTAGGAGCCGCGCAAGGCTTGCCCGCACTCGAAGCAGAGCAGATCGAGACGTCGGAAATAATCTGTTTCGCAGAGGGGGTACTGGCCGGGTGGCTTGTCGGGTACGGGGAAAAACTTGGAGGCAACGATTTTACCGCAGTCCTAGAAAGCAGGTCAGCATTGTGATCAGAGATGCTATGTAGAGAATTATTGCGCTCGAGACAATTGGGAGCAGTCCATCCAGGACAGCGATGCGCGCGCTCGCGTCGCTAGAGATCAAGAGACGTGCGTACGCCCAACTCCTCCAATCCAGAAAATAACGTGGGTGTCTTACGTGACAAGTAAAGCATTCCAAATGGTAGGTGTCGCCCAAGGCTCGCACGAATTGTCCAGTCAGTCCTTCCCCACACTTTCCACATATCTTCCCGCTTCGCTTGGGCTTGGCGACGGGCTGGTTCTGGTCCCCTGGATCGGTCGACGATCGCGGGGGGTAGTTGGTGCGGTCGTAGGGCGCAAGACTGTTGGTCGACGATGCGGCCTCGTCGGTGGCGCGTCTGGAGAGGCCATTGTTGCGCGGGTCGTAGTTGTACTGTGACTGGGCGCCCTGATGATCCATCGGAGGCGGTCCCTCCGCCGGTGTTCCCATGTCCAGTTACGCCAGCTTCGACAATCCTCCACTTCGATGCAGGGTCCGGAACGGGTGCGTGGCGTAGCCGAGGTGGAAGGGGCGCGCGACAGGGAGGCGAGAGGTGGCAGGGACGGGTTTGTCAGAGTACGTTCGTCGGATGAGCTGCGGCGTTGGTAGGAGGTGCCGCGGACGAGGGGTGTCGAGTCGCGGTGGATCTACCCGGGGAGGTGGCCAAGGGTAGAAGGGCGGCGATGCGTTGGCGA